GGTCTCGCTCTTGCTCAGGCTGGTCTGGAACTTCTGACCTTGAGCGATCCACCCGCCTCAGCCTCCCAGAGTGCTAGGATTACAGGCGTGAGCCACCGCACCAGGCCGTCAATTTTTAAATATCATATTCATTCAGTGTAACAACAGTGATACAGCTGTGGATTTCTCTCAAACCATTTCTAACAGTTTACATCCCAGAAATAATTCTGCTATAACTGTCTCACCTAAGAGGCAGTGATAGGAAATGACAGTCTTTTCCATGACTCTCCCATGGAAACCCTGCTAAAAAGAACCTTTTCAGTTGAGCTTAATTTGCTGCTATAACAGGGCTTCTCCTACTTTAGCATAAATTCTGACTTTGGAAGATACCCCCCCTTCTAGAATGTAGTTATAACCAAAAAGCAAGAGTAATAGAAAATTCTTACCAGAAAGATCCACCACAGCCTCATGACTGGAAACAGCTCCTTTCTCAATAAAAAGATCTCGAAAATATTCACTATTAGCTGACAAAACAGATTTATGAGCTTTGTACTCTTCTCCTTCAATTAACAAAGTAACATCACAGAACTGGTTGGAAAGTCTCTGTTCATTCAGCTGTTTTAAGACAGCCTGACAATGTTTTGGAGAAGAACGTCTTACCACTCCTTTGGTGTCAACCTACCAAAAGAAGTTTGAGATCAAGAGTTGTATTATATATCATCTGTATTTTTTACCCTTAACAGACTTTGAAACAACACACGCTATAGATTCCCTTTTAAGAGATATGAAGAAATAATCTGATATTCTTTGTTACATAGCATTTAAATAAAAAAGATGTGTTGTCCTCCCTATTTTCTGCTATGTTCACTCTACTTGACCTAATGAAAACCTGTATCTCACTTCTGGCTGTCTGTTCTTACCGGTCAGAAATTTGATGATGTATGAAACTGAAGCAGGCAAAAAACAAAGACTTAGCCAGATTATCTTGCTGCATGATCTAGAGATTGCTTCTAGAAATGTATTCTGTTTACCTGTACCAATATATCATTACAAAAGAAGGGATGAGGAATAATTAACAATAAAGCAACAGGTAACCCAACAGGTAACTAAGTTCATTCTGAAGAAAAGAAAAAACAAGAACACGTATGATAAATGAAGAGGCAGTATAGCTTATGTAACAACATACTACATTACCCATTTTGTCTGAGTCAATAAGATCTACTTCAGACATAGACCTGCTTAAATCGTCAATGGCATTGTCAATAGTCAAGCAGTCTTAGTGGTTTGAGAAAAATAAAAGTCACCAAGACTGCAAATACTAGTACACTAGTAGTGACAAACGTTAAAGCTGAATGGAAAGTACCACTTACAAATACAAGTTCATGTCTGGATACTGGCTTCTTTTTTGAAGGCTTGGAGGCTGTAGTTGGAGGTGAAGTAAAGTTGCTCAGGTCATCTTCTGATTCATTACTTTCTTCTCCAGATTCAAGGTCTAGACCCAATTCTTCCAACATTTCTGAAGCATCTGATATTGGACGGGAGCGATCCAATTTCTCCTGGCATTTGCTACACTGTTTAATATAATCTTTGACTTGTTTTAATATACCTACAATGACAATAAAAATTATGAAGTTAAATATAACACTGTTCTTAATTGAAAATTGAAGAATATGGCATGTTAATGTAAATAAAAAAACTGAAAACTCTATTATAGCATTATTTAGTCTGTGTACACTACTGTATGTTCAAGTATCTATGTGCAGACACATTTATGTCCTATAAAGCTGTGGTCCCCAACCTCTGGGCGGTTCAAGGTCTGTTAGGGACTGGGCTGTAGAGCTACACCTCCAATCCCCTCCGACCTATGGAAAAATTGTCTTCCATGAAACCGGTCCCTGATGCCAAAAGGGTTGGGGACCACTGTTGTACGTAGAGTGAGTTCCTCAGAATGTAAGATATATTTTCAAAGATATAAGGTTATAAATGATGGTTCATTTCCACACTGATACACTGTTTTGTTGTTTCTTCCTATTCATTTCCCCCACCATAAGATGATTATATAGCCCCACCCTTTTACATATGAGATGCAAAGTAGTCATACAATAGAAACCATATGAAACTGCCAATATTCAACTGTTTTTGACTCACA